TTGGGGGGTGTGTGGAAAGGGGGCAGCCGACGGTAGCCGTTGGCCTGTCCAGTTGTGGCTGAAAGAAATGGGGAGAGAGAGTGGGACCTCTGCTTTTCACTGCCCGCGATGCCCCAAGACTGGCCACAACCTCGCCCTTCTCAGCTCTGTCCTGTAATAGGGGGCGGGCTCCCCCCCAAGCCCCCAGCCCTGGCTGTCCCCATGTGCAGCCCACTTGGAAATCTCCTCTTTATCTTCTGTTGGGGGTAATGCCCCTCCAAAGAGGTTCTGGAGGGGAAGGGCATGACTTTCAGTGCAGAGTGGGATGAGGGGTGTCACAGCCTCCCCCTTCCTCTATACACACTGAACCTCCCACCTCTGGTTACTTTGACTGTAACCCCACATCTTCACATCCTCAGCTCTGCAGTGTCCATCTCTCGGTATCTCACATCATCTCTGTGTCTCCCTCTCCGTGTTCCTCTGATCTCTCTCCAGGCCTCATTCTCACCCGCTGGGAGGTCAGCGGCCTCCCTGGGTCCTGAGATATCCCCCGTGGCTCTCGAGGCCCTGGGCTGCACTGTCTGTCCTCTGTCCTCTGTCCTGTGCCTGCATCCTCAGCCTTTTTCATCCCCCGCCCCCCACTATTTCTCTTCTGCCCTTTTCCAGTGTCACCCTGGCCTCCTCCAGCTGCACGGCAGTCCTTTTCCACTTGCCCCACTACCTGTTCCCTCCCCCACCCAGGGTGCTGACAGGGACGACAGGAAGCAGGCCCTGGCTTTGAGCAGGAGCGAGAAGGGGCTGCTCGCACACCAGCTGCTGAGCACCCCCACCCCCCCAACCAGCCCTGCACCTGCAGGCCTGCCTGGCGCCTGGAGACTCCACCCCCAGCCAGGCAGTGGAGGAGGGACGTGAGCAGAGGCCAGATCTGGTCAGGAAATGTGGGTCTTAGGGGATGGGTTAGGGTAGAGGTCTGAGGAAATGAGGTTGGAGCGGGGAAGGGCATGATTTTCAGTCACCAGGGCAGACCCCAGCCCACTGGGTGGCCTTATTCTTCTCACACTCTCCCCCAAGACTACTCTCTCTCTCTCTCTCTCTCTCTCTGTGTGTGTGTGTGTGTGTGTGTGTGTTGGGGAGACCATGGAGAGGGGTGTGTGACTCTTCGTTATGCAGTCCAGGATCTGGCATCCCAGCTGGAGTGGAACTCTAGCCAAGGGGCTGCTCGCACACCAGCTGCTGAGCACCCCCACCCCCTCAACCAGCCCTGCACCTGCAGGCCTGCCTGGCGCCTGGAGACTCCACCCCCAGCCAGGCAGTGGAGGAGGGACGTGAGCAGAGGCCAGATCTGGTCAGGAAATGTGGGTCTTAGGGGATGGGTTAGGGTAGAGGTCTGAGGAAATGAGGTTGGAGCGGGGAAGGGCATGATTTTCAGTCACCAGGGCAGACCCCAGCCCACTGGGTGGCCTTATTCTTCTCACACTCTCCCCCAAGACTACTCTCTCTCTCTCTCTCTCTCTCTCTGTGTGTGTGTGTGTGTGTGTGTGTGTGTGTTGGGGAGACCATGGAGAGGGGTGTGTGACTCTTCGTTATGCAGTCCAGGATCTGGCATCCCAGCTGGAGTGGAACTCTAGCCCCTTCTGTGATTGGGGGAAGGGAGAGGAAGCCAGAAACACAGGGAAGGCGTGCTAGTGCCATGCCAGGCCCCTGACAGGTGATCCTGGGCCCAGTGCCAAGCAAGCAGCAGAGGACTGGGCCAGGACAGAGCCCGGGCAGGGAGGCCACGATGGGGGCTGCACACACCCAGCTGGGGCACCCTTGGATCTCCACCACCTCTGGGGCTGCTCCACGCCCACCTCCAGGTCCCCTCTCCCCAGACCTGCCTGGGATCTGTCAGAGCCATTTCATCCCCTCCCCACTTCCTCTCTCTGTGCCAAGGACTCAGCGGAGTGGGGCCTACAGGGGGGCGTGGGGGAGGACAAGCCTAAACTTCCAGGAATACCTCATTTGGAACAATTTTGGTCTGCCCCTGGTTCTGACCTCCTGGGTGTGAACAACCCCCTCCCACGAAGCTCCCTTGCACTGAAGGGAAATGGGGCTCCTTACCGCTATCCAAGGAGCCTTCCTCCACCCCAACCTACGAGTGGCCCCCCTCTCTGGGGCTGGTCTGGCATCACCACAAATGCCTGGGAGAGAAAACGGAGGGTGCTTGGAGTCATAGGACAGAGTCTCAGTGAGGAGGCTCAGACTAAGGCCATTTGGGGCCCTCAGTTCTGGGCTCTCCAGGTAGGAAGTTGGGGGTCAGGGTTCGGGTAATCTCTGTCCAGCCTCCCCCATGTCAGAGCTCACTGCTGTGGGTAACTGTGAAGGCCGGTAGCCGTCCCAGGTTGTGGCGTGGCTAATAACGCATGGGGAATCTGGAAAGCCTAGTCTTGCTGGGTCCGCCCCAGCTTCCCCGGCTGACCGGAATGAGAGGACATGGAAATGGTCAGCTGCCGCACCTGGGGACCTTGTAAAGCAAGAGTGGCCAGACGCTGTGTTTGTCCTTCTCCATCAGTCTGCCTCAGACGTGGCTAAGTTAGAGAGGGACCAGGAAGCTGGCAGGAAGTGAAATCTCGGGATGTCAGCAGAACCAGGAGATGTGGAGGAGTGGAGTGGATCTGAGTCTCCAGCATGGCCGCGGCTCCCCCACCTCACAGCTTGGCCCCACCCTCTGGGCAGCCTCCATCTTCCCGGGCCAGGGGACTTACACCTATTGCTAGGAGCCCAGGAAAAGGAGACCTTCCCTCGTGGTCCGCCAGATCAGCCCCCTCTGTGTGCTAATGGGGAAACTGAGCGGCCAGGAAATGACTAGCCCAAGGCCACTCGAGTCTCGGAGTGACAGGACTAGAATCCTGGTTTCCGCCTCCAGAAGGGCTTCTGTTCTCCAGGTGACAGTCCCCTCCGCCAGCCGGTGGAGCTTGTTCAGCCCGTATTACCCGGAATCTCCAGCCGGGCAGCTCAGAAGCTGCGGGCGGAACAAGGCAGGGCGGGTGGCGCCGGATGGGGGCCGGATGGGAGCCGCGCACAGCCTCTACCACCCGACCCGTATCGTGGTGGC